CTAACAGAAGCCACGAGTGAAGACTAACACCCAAGACAAAAGAGAGAACCACAGTGTCTCTGTGCTCTCGACATACTCAAGAAGAAAAAAAACAAACAACGCATGCAAAATAGACCCTAACTGGAAAGAGCATTTTTGTTATGTGTGATGGGACGGGACAGAGGCACGGAATGAAAACTATCTTGCTTTTCATTTGGAGTCAATTGCTATAAGAACTCCATCTTCCAAAAAGAGAAGTACAGTAAATATTTAAAAGGTTATTTTGCCTGAAAGTATTTAAAGATTTTTTTTTCTCTCTGCAAAGGGATGAAAATGAAAAATTCACAAGCAGATCTGGATCACATGCCAGCCTGTTAACATACCTCCTGCAGCCAAGTGGAAGAATCTCGATGCTTATATATGCCAGACCAAACAGCTGGTCTCCCCAAGGAAGTGGGTTAGCAAGAGGCTGGCAGTCCACAGCTCACTGCAGAAGAGTTCTCCTTAGAGCCTCCCACTTTTTGTATTCTGCTAAAATAGCCACCAGAGGGGAGGACATACGGATGGGGTGCAGCCTGGTGCCAGATGGTGGGGAGTAAGGGAGACAAGACTCCATCTACCACACTGAAATGAATGCCCTCTGGACAGCTTCGAGCACCAACACAGGAAGCTGCTTCCGCCGTCCAAATTTCATCTTCCCACATCAGAGTGTGGAGGATGGATGTTCTGACTTCTCCAACACTCAAAACAGAAGCACTCTTAATTTTTCACAAAACACTGGGATGGATAATCCATGCCTTGAGTCAGCTCCCCTCCTTGGGAAGAGTGTTTGCTATCTAATTGGGCACTCTAAACAGAACACGCTGGTCCTGGGTTCCAGCCGGATCAGGGTTTAGGATGAGCAGGGAGAGGCACATCTTGCTTTGACTTCTACCGCATCAAGAAATTTTACTAACTGTTACTCTAAAACCTGGCCTTTCAGGAGACCGCTCACTCATTCAGTGGTCCTTATCCAAGCCCTGTTTTCCACACTGGGCCTACTGTGTAGGGGAGAAAGGTGTAAGCAAGCGCAGAGGAAAACTGTAGCTCAAACAGACCTTCTCATCTCAAACACCTCAGCTTCCGAGAGGACAGTCTTCCGTCCTCTCCATGGTTCCTGGTCGTCTTCTATCAGTAAACATGCACAAATCCCTCCCCTCTTAAATTGTTTAAATAAGATGCAAACCTGTGCCAGGTGGTGGTGGCGCATGCCTTTAATCCCAACACTTGGGAGGCAGAGGCAGGCGGATCTCCATGAGTTTGAGGCCAGCCTGGGCTACCAAGTGAGTTCCAGGAAAGGCACAAAGCTACACAGAGAAACCCTGTCTCGAAAAACCAAAAAAAAAAGATGCAAACCTGAGACCTTCATCCACAAAGACAACCTCCAGATTCTCTTACTACACTCCCTTCTCGGGGGTATGGCCAAGGTCAAGAGGGAAGAAAGGATGCTTAAAGGATCATAAGAACGTGAGCCGTCAGAGGGGACCGGCTACATCTGAGTATGGGGCTTATTAACGGAAAGGCAGGTAAAGGGGGTTAAGCCACAATGTCCACAGTTGCTAGGGGCCTCATTTCCCTCAAGTCCAACACTCTGATTAGGATCAGACTGAAGGGCAACTTTAAACTTTATGAAAAGAAAACTCAGAACTGGCAGCAACCACAGGTTTATTTGGGAGGCACTTCAGCTTCCAGGACAATACTTTTACACTTAAAAATGCTGACTCCGGGCTGGAGAGATGGCTCAGTGGTTAAGAGCACCGACTGCTCTTCTGGAGGACCGGGGTTCAATTCCCAGCACCCACATGGCAGCTCACAACTGTCTGTAACTCCAAGATCTGATACCCTCACACAGACATCCATGCAGGCAAAACAAATAAATAAAAATAAATAATTTTTTTTAAAGCTGACTCCTGTAGGTTTCCAAAGGTGCCTTGGGGGGAAATGAAAATCCCGTAACAAAGCAGTCAGGACTCACTGGCTTTTCTGAGGCAAGAAGCATCAGGCAGAACTCACAGCTGCAAAGGAGGCTCAGACCCAGCTCCCTTCCAAAGAACCCACAGTCTTACACACACAGCTCCCTACCACATTGCAAGGTAAACCTCATGGCTGTCACATTTACCTCACAACCCACACCCTTGAGAGACAGCCCAGTCTACATTTATCCAAGTCATGATGGGACATTACACGAATAGCCCATGCTAAGCGTGAGCAGTGATAATCATAGCTACTGTGTACACCTGTCTGCAGCCTTTTTCATCTGAATCTAAGTCACCTAAGCCACCGGTTTTCAGGTGGGGAGGCGGGGTTGTTGTACTGTAGCTCATCTTACAACAGAGGTCACATTCCCACTGGGACTAAGCAGCCTGCTCTATCTGAACTGACCAACTTCATTCTCAAATATAACAATGCAGACCAAATACTGGTTGCATAATGGATCCTTCCCCAATTATATCCTAGCTAAAAGCAAGGCAGATGGCCTGTGGCACTTAATACAAACCCAGACCTAATGCCCACTTAGTGCATGGCTTTACTGATTTCCTTAGGACTATCTTCTAGGATCAGGTTGTAGATTAAGGTATTTTTTTTTTCACCCTGTGTAGGAACAATGTCCATCCATTTTTATTAAAATCAGAAGCTATGCTGCCCAGCTCCTTGGTGGTAGCCTTCATTATCATCCTTCAAGGCACTCTTTCTTATTTCAAGGAAATTTATTTTATTATCTTGTTTGCATTGCCGGTGCGATGGATGCTCAGACCTTTCAGATCTCTGATCTATTGGGAGTCAGTTTGTCACAACCCCTTCAGTTTCTGTCATCTACAGACAGTGGCTGGTCCCCCAGAGCTGGCTTGAGATTGTGTTTAGTGTTAGTCCAGTGTGCACCTTTGACCAAGAACGATCTCAAGCACGCGCATGGTGAAGAACAGGATAGTTTAAGCACTTGACACTTCAAAGAAAACAACAGACCTAGGGTACATTCCTGATGATGCCAGTGATCTAGAACAGGGTTTCTAAAACTCCAAGAGAAAGGCGGAGGGCTTCAGGACATAGCCAATCCAAGACTAGGAGGAACAACAATTAGAGACCAACGGACCAATCAGAGAGAGTCTATCATTGCCATTCATTTAGCATTTTGGTTTTCTATTTTCTGAAAAGATAGACTTTCTCTGTCAATTTCACCTACCTGTAACTCCTGACAATGTAGTCTGTGTGCTTATGCGAGCCAAGAAGAAGTATTTAAAAATGATGCCTTCGACTCCTACCTTCTTCTACCCCCAACCCCACCCACGCCCACCCCCATCCACGTGCATTAAGTTCACACCACATACTTTTTCACCAACAATGGGCCTGTTTGTATATATTCAATAATAAACTGTCTTCCCTTTAACCCGGATTGGGAAAATCTATTATGCAACCAACACCTTGCCTGCAACACTGTATCTGAGAATAGAGCTCGGTGAATCAGAACAGGCCATTTAACTTCGACTGGAAGGTCTACCTTCCCACCAGGACTGCAGTGCAGCATTGTAAGAGCTCTGTGGCTCCTCCAGCTCCGTAACCTTCCTGAGGAGTCAGCAACAGGCTGGGAATTACGCGCCCCATTGCCACCTTATTACAAGTGATGACAGTCTAATTTCTGAGGCCACACCAGAGAACAGAAGAAGGAAAGCACTCTGAGGAGGAGGAGGCGCCTGGCCACCCTGAAGTGTCACAGGTGACCCTAGGAGAGGATGTCAGGTCAGATCCCCCACCCCCCCCACCCCTGCTACCACCCAGGACCAGTCAGTTCAGAATCTGCATCCCCAGCACAACCTCCTTCGTAGACACACACACACACACACACACACACACACACACACACACACACACACACTGCTGCGGATTTTACACTCTCAAGCCTGTCAGAAAGGAGGGATATTTCACATGCCTGCCTCTCTCCACAATGGAAGTCTTGAGCTTAAGATAATTATCTCTCAGCTTCACAATGCAACGGGTATTTACACCTTGCTGGGGAAAAAAAATGAAGGGCCTAATCAAGAGGTCTCAATGCCCACAGTATAAAACCGCAAAGGCACATAACGTCACGTGAAAGAAGCCACCCGGCCAAGGCTGTTCTAACCAGAAGATCACCTGGTGTCAGTTTGCAAATTGGACCCGACAGTAATATGTGATTAACCTAGCACACCTTGAGCCTCCCGCATTATTTTTTTAGGTGACTATCAAGTGTTAGTCAACAATCAAACCTAACTAACATGGAACAGCCATCTTCCAGAGGTTATGTTCGGTATCTCACAAATGTAACTTTGGAGTCAGAAAGTGACTTCCTAGTATGATTATGATAGGTCATATTTATTTAATAACTCCTAAGAGCAGAAATTATTGGGGACTTTTTGATTAAATGATTCTTTTCTTGACTGTATTTCTAGAGAACTAGAAAAAAAAATCTAAGCTTTTAAAATATCAGCCTAGAGTGGTGGTGACAGTACACATCTTCCATCCAGCACCCAGGGGGCTGAGGCAGGAAGCTAGCAAGTTTGAGGCCAGCCTGAGCTACATAGGAAACCCTGTCTCAAAAAAAAAAAATACACATTTATATGCATATAAACTTATTAGCAGAGTACTAGAAAAGATGCTTTATTTATTCATCATCCATTTTAACACTTGTTGGCTTCAGAAAACCAAATGCTACAGAGGAATACAACACAACAAACACACGTGCAGAGCTGTTCATCCAGTGCCACTCCACGTGAGCCTAAGAACAGCTTGAGATCAAACTGAGATTCCTAATGTGGATGAGGGGGGGCCCCCAAGTCTGCACAAAGCCTACACCATCCCGCATGAATGCCGAGCCCTCTCCAAAGAACATAGCACCTCTTTCAACCAACATCTCGTATTTAAGAAGGTCAGTTCAGAGCTGGGGATGGGGGGCCAGGGAGGGAAAGCTCAGTGGGTAGGATGCTTGCCTAGCATACATGAAGTGGTACCTGGCTTTCTCCGTGGTTCCGGCCACTCTCGGTTCTGAGGATGGACTTGGGTTTCCGGGACTTGAAGTTACCCATGCTGGGTCTCAGCACGCCATCCACCAGCAGGGTCTGTTCCACATGCTGCTGGGCCTCGTGCAAGGGCGGAGCAAGCTCGTCTAGTCGAGCCCCCACCTGTGGATAGTTCTCTTTATTGTTTTCATCTCTGCAAGAAGAAAGACCCAATTTAGAAAGCACCCAAAACAGATGAACCTGTAGTGAAAAGAGCTGATGAGATTCACCACGCTGTATTCAAAGGGAGCCCAGGCAGAGGCAAACTTGACAGGCTTAAGAACTCAAGAAATGTGAATGCCATTCTTGTTTTTCTTTCTTTTTCCCTTTTCAGTCAGGGTCTCATGCATCCCAGCGTGGCCTTGAACTCACTATTATTCAAAGGTGACCTGAAACTTGGGATCCTGTCTTCCCTCATTCACCACGTGCTAGGATTACAGACAGGTGCTACCATGCCTGATTTATACCGTACCAGGGATTGAACCCAGGGCCTCAGGCCAACTGAGTATAACCCCATGAATTTCAAGATGCTCTCCTTTCATTGTGTACCCTACTTCCCTCCCACAGTAACAGTGGGAGACCTCCAGGTTAGGTACTCGAGATCCCAGATCTACAGATTAAGATTCTCAAGTGCTGCGGTTAAACAGTACCCCTAGCAAACAGGCCAACTCAAACACTCCCAGAATCACTGAACAGATCTCAAGTCTCTCAGGCCGATGAATTCTAGGTTCAAGACGGGATGCTTCCTATCCATTGGCAAAGATAGTTTGCAACATGGATCTGTTTGGGGAGGAGGCAAGGCATCCAGATAAGTTTTACATTTACAAGTGATACATTTCTCCTAACCAGGCCTTTGAGCAATGCCTCAAATACAGCATAGAACAAGATCCCAATGTGTGGGTTCCCTCAGGGCTGAGTTACTGACACAGGCCTGCCATCCCAGTGACTTTAGAAGCTGAGGCAGGAAGACCAAACCTGAAGTCCACCCTGGGAAACTTAGTGAGCTCTGTCTCATAACAAAAAGCAAAAGAAAGGAAGAGGGGGCTAGAGATATGGCCTAGTGGTAGGGTAAATGCCTTGCATATCCAAGGTCCTAGGTTCAATTCCCAGTCTCCCATTCACACACCCTCCTCAGTTCTGGCAGGGATGGCTCTTGTATTTTTCACTTAATAATCAAGTTCCATGTAATATACCCAAAGGGTAATGCTCTCCTCTGAAATCATTTGCCCCACTTAAATCTCTATGCATTTTACTTTGCATATTGCTAGGAAATACGCTATTGTAGCCATAACTAAATGAGGGTATAAATTGGGTTCAATATCGCCAACTTTACTCTCTGGCAATTCACTAGAAGCAGCTACTTCCCAGGTGTCTGTGCCGCATGCTCCCAAGAAAGCACCCTGTCCGAGTGGAAGAGGAAGCAGCAATCCGTGGCTACTCAGACACAAAGCCAGAGAGGGAAATCCAGGGGGGGATGTCCAGAGAGGATGGGCCCCCCGGACCCACCACTCAACACACCTTCCTACAGGGGAAGACGGAACTCATTGGGGGACAGGGGTTGAAAGCCACACCAGGATGGGTGGTCTGCAGCATGGGCCGGGTAGGAGAGCAAGGGGCATGAATGAATGTACTCAAAACAGGTGAGTGTCAGGAGGAACACCCAGCAAGTGGCTTAGAAGCTGGGAAAATGAGAGGGGGGGGTAGGGAGGGAGGAGGAAGAAAGGAAGGAAGGAAGGAAGGAAGGAAGGAAGGAAGGAAGGAAGGAAGGAAGGAAGGAAGGAAGGAAGGAAGGAAACAGCGCTGATGATCCAATTGTTAACAATTAAATTTTTTCCATGTCACTGATGGTAAAGTCAAGCCAGGGCTGGGTACATAACCCATTCTAGTGAACTGTACTGCTTGTAATGAGAAGTGGGGTGCTCTACATCTACTCAAGTTCCTGCCAGAGAAAGGGAACAACAGCATCCTTTACAGGAACATTGGTTCCTCACTCAGGTAGGAATCCAGAACCCTCCATAACGAGGTTCAAAAACGTTCAATAACACGTCTGGTGAATAATGTTGGGCACATTGTCAAATCTAACGGAGAAGTTCCCGCTACAAGGCTCTGCTCGGGGGAGCTGAAAGCTTACACCCCAAAACTCGGCTCAGAAGAGGAGCCGACCTCAGAGCAAAGATGTCTCAATCCAGAGAGGAGACATCAGACCCAGAGGATCTCTTCTTCTCACAAATCCGAGCCAAGGGCGGGTCATACCTGAGCCCAGAGCAGTCGTCCTCGTCTTCATGCAGAGAGACCGTATCTTCCTCACACCTGAGGCGAGAGGGAGAACAGCGTGTCAGATGCAAATGTCTGCCGCTGTAGAGGCAGCAATCATCTGGAATGGTGTCAAGATTAGCATGGAAACCATACATACAACGCGGTGATCCTCACCACTGTCTCCCCAAAGAAAAACAGAACAACAAACATCCAGCTCCAATTTCTGATGTCTGCCAGGCCACGATGCGATACCAACAGGCTCATCAAAGCATGTGAGCTGAAGACACTGAACCAGCTGTGACATTTCCACCTCCACAGAACTGCAGACATCGTCGAAGCCAGTGCTTCTCAGCCTCCCTGAGGCTGCGACCCTTGAATATACTTCCTCATGTCGTGGTGACCCCCCAACCATAAAAGTAGTTTCATTGCTACTTCGTAACTGTAATTTTGCTACTGTTATAAATCATAGTGTAAGTATCTAATACTCAGCCCCTGTGAAAGGGTCGTTGAGAACCACTGCTCTAAGCTAATAAGATCTGGCTAATGCCCAAGATGCTCCCAGAGGGAAGTCAGGCAACCAGAACAGTGCTCTCAAAAGAGATCCCATCATCCTCTGCATCAGGTCCTCTGTCCTGTAGCCCAGGCCACACCAGCAACCACTGGCCTTGGACTTTTTCTTTTCCACAAGACTTCCTAATTAACCTGATGAAAAAGTCTTGGCTCTTCCATATTAAAAAAAAAAATCCCTGGTGTTTCCTACTCCCTGAGGGAACCTGGAGTGAGTGTTGTTCTCCTAAGTAAGAAGGAGTCTTTGTTCCTCTTCCCAGCCATTCATCTTGCCTCGCCCAGCCCCACCCTGGAACATTTCTCCATCCTCCATTCCTATCCATCCTTCGCTGCCCAAAGCCGGGAGGTACCAGCTTTGAACAGGAACCTTCCCGGCCAGATTCACACACACACACTACTGTAACAATGTTCATTTTAAGATACAAATGCTTACTCTTCACCCTTAGGTGCTGATGTCTTTTGTAGGTCTGAGATCCTTTGAACTGGTTTCTCATTGCAGGAAACAGCGAGAGGCATACCTATACTTATAAAAACAACTACAGTTCTTTTTCTAGGGACACCGCCATGGCCCCCAAGTGCAGCATTGCTTCCAAGGATGTTCAAAGGCATCCTTGTTTTAAGAACGACTCTGCTCCCTCGGCAGAATAACCAAGCAGTTTAAACAACTGAACTGATGGCCATTCATTAAGCATGTACTGCTTCCCGGGTGCTCTGTTCACCTGTTGTGATGGCTAATAGTGACTATCAACTTGACGGAAGTTTCTAATTATGTGAAATGATGTGGAAAGACCCAGCCCGATGGTGGGCAGCACCATTCCAGAGGCTAGAGACCTAGACTAAGAGAAAATGGGCTGAGTATCAACATTCCTACTTCCAAGACGAGATGTCATGTGACCAGCCTCCTCAAGCTCCTGTCTGGTGCCTTGCCCATCATGAGGGACTGTCCCCTCAGAATGTGAGCCAAAAGAACCCCTTTATTAAGTCACTTTTGGTCAAGCTGTCACATCACTATAGTAAGAAAAGTTGGACTGATGTGTCTTACATTTTCTAGGGTTAAGGACTGACCGTTTTATTTTAATGTCCAATCCACTGAGGTAAACACGTAATAGCAATGTCAAATTCCTATTGAAGTTATTAAGTGCTGACTCCCTTCTTCCCTACGTCTGTTCTGGATTCAGACACGTTAGCTATATCTAGACTCAAAGTAACATTATTTCTAAAGGATACAAGAGTTTCAGAAGATCTGGATCCTGTTCTGAGAGATTCAGTGTAGTGAGTAGGCGAAAATAAAACAAATAAATACATATGCACAAATGTAATATGGTGCTTATGTTACATTAACTTACATATTTAAATATTCATCACTGGAAATGCTGTATAATTAGCCCACAAATTAACTGAAGAAAGTGGTTGTTCTCTTCTTTTCCAGCCTCTTTTTAAATTATGGCTTTTGTAGTGAATTATACAAAGGCCACCTACAGACTTGAACCCTCTTTATCTAACAGAATATTCTGTTCCCTGTGGCAATAAAATAAAGTTGGTCGAGTTAACAAAATGGAATACTCTAAACTTCTTTGCTCTCTTATGTTTTTGACTACTAATAACCCCACTCTATTTATCTCATGGAAAATAGCAATTAAGTTCCCAAGTTTTCCATTCTGCCTCACCATCAATATTCAAACGTAGTTCCTGTAGGCTTTGCAATATGAATGACAATGTTTTCCAAGAGTAAAGGAGAAAAAGTCATACACTATAGAAACTGAGGGTTCTCACTTTTAAGAACTAAGGTTTAACCCACAGTCCCAGCTCCGAGATTAGCAACACAATAATGTGTTCCCCCTCTGGAAATTCTTGTTTTATCCTCTAAGCATGATAGCCTGAAAATGGAAATTCAGCACCAGAACCTACAAAAAAGGGAAGGTGCCTTCTGGGCCATAAGGCTGGACCAAATCAGTGGAGCAGAATATCTCAACAATTGCCAATCACCACCCAGGACACACAAGTTCAAGATCCTACCTAGGTCCAGCAGTGGAAATCAATGTCCTCGGAACTCATCCCTGCTCTTTGAGTGAGGTAGAATTCTCCTTACTTTACTAGGGACCATCAACCCCCATTCAATCAGCATCTCATTGTCCTCCTTGCCCAGGAGGGCCCTACAAAGGGACAATACTGACCTGGTGATGGAACTGGATTCTGCCACAGGAAGCCACCATCATGGTTCCCCATTTCTGGAAGACCATCAACTCAGACTAAATGGCCGACTAATGGCCAACTCAGACCCAGGCTCAGTATTCTCTTATATTACTGTTTCTACCACGCGGGAGTTTAAAGGCCAAACCTTAGGATTTCCCTCACAGGTCCTCAAAACTTAAAAATAGTATATTCATCGAGGTAACCTAAAAACAAACACTACATATGCAGATCCTGACTTCTACTACACATGTGTGCTTGTGTAGGCGAGAGTGGGGTAGAGGCTGGAAAACTAGAAAAGGTTCACAAGAGGGAAGAGAACAGAGCACGTGACGTGGACGTGGAGAGGGGAGGGGGAGGGGGGAATGAGGGAGGACAACTGCCTATGGATGTATGCAAACGCAACAAGCAAACCTGTTACTTTAGATACTAGCTGAAGTAAATAAACGCAAGAAAGAGCAATAGTCCATCCAGGTGGTGTATTCAGAACTAGCTGTTTGGAAACCCGGGATGTGATGTAACTATCTGTAACAATGATGAAATCAATGAAAGGAAATGTCAAGTCTCACAATCATGTACGTAGCACGTCCTGATGCTCTTCCGATGGTGCATGGTCACAGTGGATCCCCTCGCCACAGTGGCTAGCCACCAACATGGTATGGCCAGAGTGCTTAGACAGGACAGAAAACGTCCAGCCCAGACAGGGTTAAGGGCTGCTTCCTGTATATCACTGAAATCCTATGTTTGTGTGTGACTGAACTGGGAGGGAGGATGCTTTTCCTATGGTTGGCCATGGCGACAAGGGACAAATGTTAAAGACACTTCCAGCAAGTGATTTCTTGGTAGTGCTCTTCAGCAGGCTGTCAGAACCCTCCACTTGAGCTTGCTCAGACATCTCTACAACAACTCCAACTTGGGTCTCTTCTCCCTCTCTTCCTTTTGCTCAGTCTGCCAAGCACAAACAAAAGAAAGGAGTGCACACAGTCCGCAGCCCACAGGACCATCTGCACCTTCTCAGGCCGGCCTGACAGCTAGGAAAGAATCCAGTCCCAGGAGACCAAGTTATTGCCAGGATTCCACGGTTTTACCCCAGGGAACCTTGCTTGTTCCCGGCCCACACCGCCAAGCCCACAGACAGAAGTCACGTGACATTGTCAGTTTATATTCCCGGAGGCTCAGCAGACAGAAGAACCAGACTTCTTGGAATAATGGAAGCTAAAGACATATCCACGAGTATCCACGAGACATCATCTTCTCTGGTGAAATTGGAAGAAAGGCCCCAACTTGACGGGCTGGCAGAGAGAAACAGTTCCCCTCCACACCCCAACCCCACAGCGCCACACCCCAGAAGGCAAAGTGACAGAGATGCAAACTCTTGGGGAATTTCCCAAAGTGTGACCCCAGAATCTCCTTGTCAGTGCTCTCTGGAACAGCTGACTGAGACAAGCAGACTCCAGCCTGGCCCTGCCTCAGCCCCATGCAGAATGTAAACCTCTCGCGTGGGGAGTTGCTTGTTGAGTTTTGGTTTTGAGATGTCTCTTGTAATCCAGCCTGGCCTCAAACTTTGCTATGTCGGCCCGAGACGACCTTGAATTTCTGATCCTCCTGCTTCTACTAGCAAGTGCTAAAGATTACAGGTCTTCACCAGCATCACCACCCAGTTTTATCGGGTGCTTGGAATCAAACCCAGCATTTCATGTATGCCAAGGCACACCCCTAGCCCTGTAATGTATACTTTTATTATTTATTTATTTTTATGTTATGTGCTGTGGTTGTTTGACATGTAATTGGCCCCTGTCAGCTCATAGGGAGGGGCTACTAGAAGTGTGGCTTTGGAGTAGGTGTGGCCTTGTTGGAGGAAGCGTGTCACTGTGGAGGTGGGCTTTGAGGTCTCATATCTGCTCAAGCCATGCCCAGTGTCTCAGTTCACTTCCTGTTTCCTGTGGATCAAAATGTAGGACTCTCAGCTCCAGCACCACATCTGCCTGCACACCACCATGTCCCACCCACCATGATGATAATGGACTAAACTTCTGAAAACTGTAAGCCACCCCATTGAATGTTTGCCTTTCTAAGAGTTGCTGTGGTCATGGTGTCTCTTCACAGCAACAGAAACCCTAAGACATGTGCATTGATGTTTTGCCTGAGTGTGTGTGTGTGTGTGTGTGTGTGTGTGTGAAGGTGTCAGATCCCCCTGGAACTGGAGTTACAAACAGTTGTGAGCTGCCTTGTGCGTGCTGGGAATTGAACCTGGGTCCTCTGGAAGAGCAGCCAATGCACTTAACTGCTGAGCCATCTCCCCAGTCCCCTTGTGATGTAAATTTTCAAACAGAACTGTACAGCCACTTAACTAGTATGCTTCTAAAATATTTTCATCTAATGGTTTCTAAGACCCAAGCCAGCTCTGACCTAAGTGAAATACACCCAGATCTGCACAGGCATTACAAGGCCTTGAAAAACCAAGAAGAAGACAGTGCCCTTGAGTCTGAAGTCAACTTTCCTTTGATTCTTCCAAGACCTCCAGCCGGGGAGACATGGGCATGGTCAACTAGACGTTGTCTTAGGCTCAGGGATGAGGACCTGAGTTTGAATCCCCCCACAGCCACTTTAAAGTCCATCAGAGTGGTGGTACAGAGAAAGCCCTAGGTTTGGGATGAATGGAGACAGAATTCAGGATCCCCAGAGCTCATTAGCCGCCAGCCCTACCCGTCCATGATCTCCAAGTTCAGTGAGAAATGAGGTCAGAGGAGATCAAAGGAGACATAAGATGTTAACCTCTGGCCTCCACAGGCACCCTTATGCAAGCGCATACATATTCAACTGGCCAAGTAGCATCCTTCCAGATTGGATGATCTGATAAAATAATTCATCGAAAACCCTAATGACTACTTGGACCCACTTTGTAGGGCACGGAGTTTTTAATTTCCATTTTAATAAGGATTGCTACCGGAGGCCTTAACCATAAAGAAAGCCTCTCCGGGTGGAATTTCAGCGGTGGGGGAGGAAGCGATGGAGATGGATGGGGACAGGAGACAGAGAACATTTGCTCATCTTAGAAACATCAAACAGGAAAGGGCATCCTCAGAGCAGACCAGTATCTCAACCAAACACTTCCGGGGCGCCTGCTATGTCTGGGTCTTGGGATAGCACCCTCTGGCCCTGCTGGCTAAGGGACTGTTCCCATATCCAAGAACAGGTTCCTGTTATTGAGGGGAGAAGGAAACAGCAATGCTCGGTTTGACAACCACTGGTTACAGACGGCCCTCGTCTGTGCTGTCACACCTGTGACACTTTGGGTACGTTATCTGTCCCTTCGATTCCTGTATTAGCCAGATGGCTTTCCCAGTTACCACTCACAGCCCTTTAAAAGAAACCACTGTCACTTCTCCAAAAGTGACAACGTGATCTTATGCAATCAGAACTCCTTGGGGAGTGTCCAAGGACGAGACACGACAGTCTCCCCAGCATTTATCCACAACACATATGTGTGTGCGCACACACACACACCACATAGTCCATATGAAATCTGGAACTAAATGTCTCCACCTTGAAGCTCCCAGGCCTGTGACTGTGGCTGACTCTAGGGATCTGGCTACATAAGGCACCTGAGAATCAAGCCCAGATAACATGTGATTGCCAGGGAGCCCGGCAGGGGAAAAGAGAGGTAGGTAACCGACTTCTTGAACCAGGAGATCCAGGCCTCTTCTTTGGTCCACAGATCTCTCTCTCTCCTCTTCTCTGAGCCTTTTCTAGAAGGGCAAAGTGGCAGGGTGATGTCACTGCCATGACCAGGGTGCCAGTGAGCAGGCCACAGTCAGTCTTCAAAAGACAACCTGGTCTTCCTTTTAAAGAGATCCCACTGAGGGGAGCTCAAGGCAGGATACTATGGAAATCGCAAACCACACAGAGGAGCAAAGGCTTATGGGAAAGAGGCCGTAGGAAGCATAGTAGAACCTCAGTCTTCCCTCTCCAAGTCTCTGCCAACAATGGTGGGATCCAAAACCCAAAGGATGCTCTATTCACTGGCCAGGTATCTTTAGCAAATAGCTCCCAAGTCAACTTGTGGCTTCTGTATGAAACTCAGGGTTTTTTTTTTTCACGTAGAAGAATAACACAACTTTGCACACACCCTCCTGCAAAGCTTTTCCAGCGTGACTTTTACCAAAAGATCCCAAGAGTAAACACAAATTTCCCTATGATAAGGCGGCTAGATGGAATACATGTAGTCTATACACCCAGCTAAATGTAAATATCACATATAGTGCCAGCAAAATGTACTCCACATTAATTTCTGATCTATATACATACACACACACACTATATATATATATATATACATATATGTGTGTGTATATGTGTATATATATATATATAGATAGATAGATAGAGAGAGAGAGAGAAAGAGAGAGAGAGAGAATGCATTATCAAGAAAATACTAAGGGAGAGATGACCGGAATAAAAAATGAAGCACTATAAATATCAAAACAAAAAACTATGTGGGCTGGCATTGAGTAAAACACCACTCCCTCCTTCCACTTTGAAATGCTGTTCTTAGTTGCCCTAAGCGTCAGGTAAGGCATTTCTCTATAATGACATTATTGAGGTCAGACGAGGGGGAAAAAAGGCACCTAGAAAAAGTTTACTGCACCGTGTCTTAAAAACCTGTACACAGAGAGAGGGGCGGTAAGTTTACCCTGTTTAAACGTGCTGGAATTAAACTCCGGTCCTCTCACATCCATCTATTTGGGGCCAATGTACACAGCATGTACGCCATGAAAACCGACACTCACGTTGGCAAAATACAACCAAGCTTCCTTTCTGACAAAAAAAGCGCTAAGCTCCAAGGTTGCATATCTTGAAGCACAGAGCCTCCCGCAGTAGTCAGCTAGGTTTAATACCTCCCCCCCAACCCCCCGCGCGCCACCCGCAGTTGCTAAAATACTGGCTGCAACCTGTGAGAGGTTTGTGGGCCCCCGCAGCCCCAGGTTCCAGGAGACAATGCATCGCCTGGGAAGAGGGGCTGGGGACGGCGGGTACCTTCACCATAGTCGCTTCAGAGACAGGCATGCAAGTCGATTGTAATGGCAAGAATCACTTACTCAGTTACAGCGGCGCTGCCGAAGGAATTATCCTGAAGGCTGAAACAGAAACAAGAAAACATGAGCCAAGTCCGGCCGGGGAGCCGTCTCCCGAATTGCTCTCCCCGAGTTAGAGCACGCACACAAACATGGCATTGCCAGGCAAGTCTCAGGGCTTGCCCGGCACGCTCGCTCTACCTTGGGCTGCTGTCTGCACATGCTCCTGACGACACCCCCAGCAGGGGCCCAGCAGCACGGGCGAACCACAAAGCCCAGCAGCCCGCGAGGCTGCGGGGACGATGGGGCGGGGCGCGGCGGCGTGCGACCTGGGGGTTGCAGCTGCTGGGACCTGGAGAGGCTCCGCAACCCGGGTAGACAGCTAGGAGCTGCGGGGAGTGCAAGCTGCTTGAGCTTGCCACCTCAGCCTAGGCTGGCAATACGGATGTGTCCCGTCCCCCACCCCTACTCCCCCCCCCCCCCCCCCCGTGGATGCAACGCCCGCCTCCCATGGCTTGTTACCTCCCCAGCCCCCACCTTACCCAGGGGATGCAAACATGCAAAGATGCATCCATCGCCCAGAAAAAGCTAGGAGAGATCGAGAAGGAGAGAAGGAGATAGCGCTGAGTTTTGTCTTATTTTCACAGTGTGTTGGTTTTTATTGCCTGGAACAAAAGAGGCTCCTAAGGGCCGGCTGCATCCCCACAGGTCTGTCTGCGCTCTTGTTATTTCTTTCGGCTGGAGGAAGAGCCCTGCTCAGGACCACACAGCTGTGAATGAGCCTACACAGGGCGAGTGTAGAATGCTTTCCAGGCCATAGCTGATGCCTAGGACACCGTGCAAGGGGAGGGGGCGGGCTCCTATACCCACAGCAGCCCCGCACCTTCACAAAGGATGGAGTGATGAAGTCGGAAACCGTTCTGTTGGATGGAGGCAGCTCTGTTGGGGGAAGGGAAGCCAGCCAGCCCCACCCCCATCCCGCTTTATTCTTGCTTGGGGATGTTTGTCCTGCCCTCTTCGCATTGTTCACGTCTCCTGCCATGTTGACCTTGACTTGCTATAAACAGACATCTGTGAAAAACAGGTCTCTGAATTTTGAAGTAAGATTTCCCTGCCAGGAGATGCTGAGATGGTGGCTCATACATAGTCTTAACTCTGTAACGGAACTGATGACTTAGTTTACAACAACTGACCTCATTTAAAATACAGAGCCAGGCGGATCTCTGTGAGTTGGAGGCCAGCCTGGGCTACCAAGTGAGTCCCAGGAAAGGCGCAAAGCTACACAGAGAAACCCTGTCTCGGAAAAAAATAAAAAAATAAAAAAAATAAAAATAAAAATAAAATAAAATAACAGTAATAATAATAATAAACAACTAAGTTTTAAAATGCCTCAAAAAACTGGAAACAAAGAAGGAGGAGCCTCACCTTCCACACACTCAAAGTTTAAAGGTCCACCCAAGGCATAGTTTATGCTCCAGGAGGGCCAACTTGTGTGAACTTCGTTGTGCCTTTGCACAGAGCCTAGCCATAGCCACACTGCCCGTTAACACAGACATTTATTCCGTCTGTCCAGATGCAAAGATAACCTCCTTGCCGGTCATTTTACTGCACTCAAGGGCATGAATGAATTGTGCATCTGACCAAAAGAAACTTCTTTCTAAATGCCTGTAAATAATCTGTGATGCCTCAAAATGGTCCCTTGTACAGTTTCCCTCATTCATCTCGACGTGTGCGCACATTATTTTTTTTTAAAGTCCCGTTTTTAACTTTTTCTGTTTGTACTTGAGGGATAAAAATCAAGTTTTCAGAGAAAAACAGATTCCGTTAAGTTGTTTTTCCCCCCTGTAATTTTACTCTCTGATTTCCAAATATTTTTAGATCAGTCAAATAAAAGCTTGAAGTGGCCTTAGATTTTAATTCTGCAGGTTAAACAGATTCTGAAGTATTAATTCCTTGGGAGTTGAACTATATACTACACATATATTCTTAATCATATTGGCCCACGGAACTAGGTCCTAGATGACAGACAGTGTTCCTGGCAACTTGACGTCTTAACTACGGCGTGTCTTCCTGTCCACAGATCTGAAGCCTGTCAGTTGCCCAGAGGCTCTTTAGCTTAGAGGCTTTGGTGCCAATCCTGAGTAGTCCAGTGTAGAGAATGACCAGACATTTTATGTGCAAACAACTCCAGTGAGCCATCTGAAATAGGAAGGAAGAATGCTTTTAACTGAGAAACAGGACTTACTATCAAAATGCTTTGGCCCCATGGAAAACAAAATGAAATAATAAATGTGCTTCATAAATTCAGATAGGCAGTAATGCCCAGAGGGAGGAAAAAATGGGTTCTCTGCAACCCACGAGCAGAAAGGACCCAGGATAGCTTTTAAGAACTACTCATCTACTCATACAAAAGAATGACAACGAGTTAGTACAATATGTTATGGCTAAAACCCCAGAACACAAGCCTGCCATTTAGCAGTGTGCAAGAAACCACTTGAGACTTACCACTCATCCTGTTCTGAAGTTGTTCCCTTCTTAGATCTGTTGTTTGTTTTTGTAAGTGGTTTTCAAGGACCTTTTTAAATGAGATGTCCTATTCACCTTGGAATGCACAGTACTGATGGGGAGCACAAAAGGTCGGACTGGAGGCCCTTGGCTTATCAGAACAAAGTTCAAAGGGAGAAGAGAACAATTATGGCTGGCATCTCTAAGGAAGCGCAGGCATTTCTCAGGGCAGAGACAGGGTCCAGACTTCCCTGTGGTTCTATGTAACATGGTCCAAACACATTTTTGAAAGGGGAGATATGATAAATTCAAAGACAGCAAGTGAAACTATATTATGTTTCCAACTTTGAAACAGGACATAGGTAGGCAAAATGATGTGGAACCATTGAAAATAAAAAGAAAAAAACAAATGTACTCAGTGCATGGATTTCTCACACTCATTAAAAAACAATAAAATACTTAGGTTAAACGTATCAGTTAACATTATACCTACCAAGGGGTCCCGAGAAAACACTACCTGGCTTTGTTTAGTGAACTAAAGAATGATGAACAAATGATACTCATACTTAACACTGTGTCAGATGCAGTCCCTGTTACCCTGAAGCCTTTGGTATATATATACATATATGTATATATGCACATGCATATATACATATGTGTATGTAATAAATAAGACACACAGTGTATAATTCAATAAATACGATAAGGGGGAATCAAAAGGCTAGATTTGACTATGGTTAACTCACCTTCATGCTGTTGCAGTTCTCTGTGTTTTCTAATGGTGAACATGTGAATTTCATACTTAGTACCAGTAGTTTCTTAATTACTGTGTTTTCATCCCAACATACTGACTTAGCCCTCTGCAAAACAGAACTGCCATGCAGCCCACAAGAAAGAAATCTACAAGTTCAAGATGAAGACGAACCACTTACCAGTAATTTAGTCTTTAAAAAAAAAAAAAAAAAAAAAAAAAAAAACCTTATAACTCACTTTCCTAGTTCTTGGATAGAGATATAATCTGTCTCCAGGGTTCTTTCAAAGATTAAATGACATTCTTGTTTTATCCTTGTTCTCACTATTGTTATAACATTGTAACTATTGTTATAACTATTGTTATTGTTATAATAAGAACTTGTAAACATGGAGTTTAGAAAGGAAACAAAATGGCCATTGAGTGGTAACAGTTTAGAGACTATGATGCCGTCTTTCTACTCTGAGGATCCCACACTGCTCCCACCGCTTCCTAACTTTGAAAATCATAGGATTTTACATTCGACCAGATGAGAAGGGCTTGCTCCCAGTGGAATGGGCTTCATGGAGGACGGTTGCATGTTCACTTTTGTAACTCAGTTTAAAATGCTTACACATCCCTGGAGGACCAGACAATTCTGAGAAATCACTTTCTAAGGGATGCTGGGGCATGGGGCCAGAATCTTTACAATACCAGGAAGTCAACAGAGGCCTGTACTACTGGCCTGGACACAGTGACTTGGTGCTTCCTGCCAGTCCTCCAGGGAATAGCCAGGCCTCCTGGTATGTGAAAAGAGGACTCTTGCCTGCCCACAAAAGATAATTTTCCATTTCAAAGAAGTGAGAACCCTCTCCTTAAATCTCTATCCCCTGATCCTTTGCTTTACCATCCTGATCCTTGACATCAAAGCAGAAGGGGCCCTCATTCTCTGAGTGGTTGTTGTCTGAGCTACTGAGGGTTAATGGACACAGGAGAAGGTCTCTTGGGGTTTGGGTCACCGCCATTCAATCACCTCTCTCTAAATTAATGTTTGTGCATACCCTGTCCACTTTTGACTCACACCCTCTCCCTGAACTACCTGAATTCCATAAAGCCAATGGAAGTGGCATGGGAAACATCTTAAACAACATTTAAAAACCAGTGTCGGGTGGAGATGTGGTATCAGGAACCAAAGAGTATGGACAGCATCAAATAGGAACAAATTAAGATAGATACCTGTTAAAGATTGATGAAGCCCTTAATTAATTGTTTAAATATTGTAGTTTTAGAATTATAATATAGTGGGTGTTGATGGTGAGGCAAAGACCAATGTAAGCTAGTAAAAGGTTTTCAGGGGTTCAACAATACGGTTTAGTAAGTTAAAGCTCTTGCACTGAACTTGAGGGCCTTGGGTTTGCTCCCAGAGAGCTTCAAGGCAGAAGGAAAGATTCAGCTCCTTCAGGCTGTCTTTCGACCTCCATGCACACACATGCCATGGTATGCATGCACCATGCCTCCATTCTCTCTCTCTCTCTCTCTCTCTCTCTCTCTCTCTCTCTCTCTCACACACATAAATAAATAAATAAATAAATAAATAAATAAATAAATAAATAAATACATACATACATACATACATACATAAATAAATAAATAAATAAATAAATAAATAAATAAATAAATAATCTTGAGGAAAAAAGTATACATAGTCCATCTCCTAGAAAGGATATCATTTCTCTTGTTTCTAAGAATTAGGTTGCTCTTCCAATTATGTCCAGAATGAAAGCTAAAAACCTTGTTATCTTTTCATTGGGCTACACTTGTTCTGCCCAATGAAAGGAGGAGGGCGAGTGAGTGAACGTCTATCTCACCACGTGGGCCTCCCTGCTGGGATAACAGGTGAGCCTTAGGCTACACTAGGGCCTGTGAGAGAGCCGTTCTTTAGCTGGGATGTTCAACTGTGATTTCCGGAAGTAGGAGCTGCTTCCCTGACACCCTCACAAGCCCGGAATCACCTATCTCGCTCTTCTACATTTTATTTGCTTCGGGACCGTTTCGTGTTTGGTGTATATTCATCCATTTGGTGTTCGATCGCTTCTGCACAATAGGAATAAAGATTTGTGGGTCTTGGGGCTGGAGAGATAGCTCAGAGGTTAAGAACACTGGCTGTTCTTCCAGAGGTCCTGAGTTCAAT